CTCTTCTGTATACCTCCTGGTCGAGGTCGAACAACCCAACATCTAAACTGAAAGGACCATTTAAGTAAATTCAAACTCAAAATCCATGAACGATCCGATGCTACCATTTGAAAACGCTGGCCAACATTATGTACAAGGAGTATTCTTGATCTGAAATAAAGGAGCAACTGGTTTTCAAACAGTTTTCAATGTATTACTCAACTTACATGTACAGTCTGTCATGCTGACACAAATGACGCCAATGGATAGTTCTGGAATCGACCTCGGTACCATTGGATGCAGTAAAACAACCCAACATGAACTTATCTAGTTTTCGTATCCACGATCAAATTTCTTTCCTATTATAAGATTACGATCAGACTGCTGAAAAAAATTGGAATAAATATATCAATGATCTCAACATTATACATCAATGAACATAAAGCCAAGGATGCTGTTCACAACAAAGTTATATAGGAGAATTGACTTCAAGCTTTATTTTTCCCAGATATTTGCATTACATTCCTCTGATGTCTGGGTTGTTTGTTAATGCGAAGACAATATTTCTATATCTCTTTATGTGTTACACAGACAGACTATTATGCAGACTGTTCCGACTGACTCTAATGTCAGAAAGAAGAGACAAACTGTAAATTCAGCATACATCGAAATATGTGTAATTTATATGATAACATATCCATGCCTGTAAAGTTGATATGTTTCTGCATAAACAGGAATAAGTATATATAATACAAATATATTTAAATGATTTAACCTTTTTCGATCATGAAAATAACGTAATATCTGAATGTAAACGACTTACTGATTTTGTACTTTACTGTAACTTTCATACCCTTGGAAGCAAGATTAGCTATATATAAGACATGTATTTGCCCCGAACTTGAATATTTTGCTCTCCTACTTAGTTACCTAGGGTCTGCAGACCGAAGAAAAGTCGGAAGTGTCCAGAGATTCCTCACGAAACGCATACTAGGGTTTGACCAAGAAAAGACCAAAGCCGTTGGTAGAATGGCAAATGAAAACCAGTCCAGTCTTCTGTGAATTATTATTACAATTTTTTCTATCTAGTGTAGTCAATTACATATAACTTGACCCTACTACTTATGTAGCAAACATTAAACTAATGAACTGATTTTCTATTCTCCATGATCTTTAATAAGTTGTGTTAGTATAAGTAGTTCTAGAAACAATTATATCAGCAACCACACCTTTTTTACATATATATGTATTACATACATATATTCACTTATTTTACAGATATATAATATACACAGATATTTTTGTTTCGAAATGACTTCACTCAGTCAAAAACCACCTTTCCCCAAGTACCCTTCTAACATTTTGCAGTTTTCTTAATATAAAATAAGTTGATGTGTTATTTTGCAATGTCTGACGAATACCACGTGAATATAGGTAATGAAAATTTAGCATAAATAGTTCTGTTAACCAGCTGTTTTCTTCACTAATTGTTCCACTACTCATTTCACTCTGCCAAACAAAATATAACTTAGTTGCTGTAATACTGTAACGATAGAAGACAAGGGCCAGGCAACAGATAGCTTATTCAGAAATTCGTGAGAAATCTTACAGGTCAGCTTGTCCTACGGGTTCTAATCATCCAGACCTATGAACTCACTTCCCACTGAAATATCACTTATCTACTCCACAATAATCTTTTTATTTACGCACCATTATACTCCATTTTATCTTCACTTCCTAGGCCTTTATTAAAGCCAAAACTTGCTCTTAAAATCTGGTTGTATTAATGAAAAACACAACAACACCAATGTTTGAGCAAAGGCATATTTTTACGGAAAACTGCATAATCTCCATGGTGAGACCAATGTGGTTAGCAGTGAACATTGTAAACTATCATTTCAAGGACTCTATAGCTCCCTCTCATACATGTCTTGTTTTTTATTTTTATTTTTTTATTTTTGATTACAGCTTGATGCCACACCGTATTTTCAGTACAAGTATGATATTTTCAGCATGAAGGAAAGAAGTTGTGTGAGTACCTTGATATGATTATGAGCAATAGTTTGTGCTCGAAACGTCATCAGTTGATATAACTGTACTACACTGTGTGATTTATCAAAATAAATTCTTATCCATTATGGAATTATACTCTACCACAGTGCCCAAGTTTTATACTTATATCAATTTACAATTTAACATTTACAAGAACCCGTTCTGATTGTTTGTACTAAAATTTAACCATTTAGACTTTTGAAAAATTCTGATTTATGGGACTTCACAACTGTAATTTATAACATAACTGGTCGTGCCTGTAAAAATGGCACACATTTCTTGTAAACACCAGTTTGTGCGAAATACAAATTATTATCACTTATTATACAAGACGGTGAAGAGGTAGTAGTATTTGACACGCGCTTATTCAGCTTTTTTGGCAGATCATGGGAAGGTGTATTACGATGCCGTTTAGTCTTGCAGAAGTTTTCAGCTGACAATGAAGCACGACACTTGAATTGCTCAATTGGCATTCTGTGTAAAGTTAGTAAATATCTGCCTGACTGTAGGTATATGAGTCTTAGGTTATCTGATGCTTTGTGGAAAAACCTTAATTACAATATGGACATCAACAGTCAGATACTCGATGTGGTAATACCTTAAACAGTAATTTGAAATAGAAGTAATGAGGATAATATGCAAAAGCTAGAAAGGCAAGTCTAGACGGTGAAGCTGTTACTATTTGTTCAGTAATACTAAAAATATTACCTAAAATGTTGGAATACGAAAAATAATAAGTAGACTGTTTGTGGTTCACTGGACTCCTGTACATTTCTTGTATAAATTGACATTTTATTTACGGCGAAGTAATTATGGGTTCAACTATTGTACTCTTTGTGGTTTTTGGCTCCGGATAACCTCGTATCTGAAGGTTCATACCATATATACTCGATAAATTTCGTTTAACAGAATAATAATCTTACAGTTCCTCACCATAATGTTATCAATATAATTCTATTTGGAACCACTTGATTTTGTTTTGGATTTGTTAGTTGTAACTGGGACCCTTTGTTGGCCGAGTTTTTGAGAACAACTTGATTTTTTCAGTTTTGGAGAGGACTTTAACTCTGCAACTTCAAGGAATATTCTTGCGGTGCCTCTTACAATACCATTTCTCACTATCCCGCCGTAACTTCTAGTATTGCAGCTTTAAACATTAAAGTCGTATGTTATAATTGGTACTAATTAGATTGTTTGGGGCTCAGTGAACTGTTGTGCCTTTCGTTTGAATGCAATTTTTGCTAAACCGAGAGCAATTTTGTACTCAGCCCTTGTGTTCTCGCCATCTGAATGCTGGACGTCCTTACATTTCAAGGTGTGTACCATGTTTATCTGATACATTTCGCTAAATGAAACAATTGACTTTGCATTTTCTTCGACAGTTTTGGTTTCAGTATAAATCCATTTGGATCAGTTTTGTTTTGTTTTGGATCTCGATTGACGATTGAGAGCCTGTCTCTACAGAGAGTTATTCATGCTGCGGCTGTAGCAGTCTCCATGTGGCGCAGCCACTCAGAACCTGATGAACCTATCGATTCATGTGAATAGGCAATTGAATTCTTCAGGGTGTTGCACAGGACTTACAAAGTCTTGGTGAACATGTATGAAACGAGTGTCCGACTGCAAAAATATTCCCAAGGATGACATTGTATGTTTATTTTTATCTTCACCATCTGACATGCCACGCACTATTTCGTCCAATTCTGTTCGTAGCATAGAATATTCGGCCAAGTGTACCTGACCAAGATTATTTTGGCTGAAGCCTCCACTCTGGGATGTTATGACGACGAAGAGTTAAAGCGTATCCTCACTGCAAATAACTCTAGTCTCCAACTTAAACAACTACTATTTCTAGTACACGGCAACTTTATGTCGTTATTATTAATATTAATAGGCACCAGTCTGGGAAATTTTGCCTAATTAGGGCCCTGTAATGACCAAAAGGGCGCCAGTCAGTTTGATGTTTCTTAGGCACCAATTGTAATGGTGAAGCCCCCTGACTGCTCGAGGGCAGAATAATCCCCAACTGAAGCATGTAATCAAATTCAAGCTTGTCCCGTGCCAATCTTCTTGACCTAGTGAACGGTGAGGAGTGATGTGTCCATGAGCTCTGAGTAATTTTCGGGAAGGACTTAAAAGTTTGAAGGTTGGTTGCCACCGCAGTTTTTTACAGAACATTTCGGTGTACGATGTTGTAGATTAGACTAGATTTGATGAATGTTGCTTGCACATTTTGCCATTCGTGTGCCAGGAAGTTCCTTCTTGTCGTCCTGTGTTCATTGATTGCGGTCGGCGACGATTTGAATTTAGGAGCCAAATTTACTCAATGTTTATTTAGAGCTGATCTAGTATATATCAAGATGACAGATATACTCTGGTTGCGTTAATTCAGCTTATCTACGCAGTTGTTTGAATTAGCCCAACAATGGCACGACATCAGTGGTAGTGTGTACATATAATGTCGCCAAAGCCGCACCCCACCCTCACACGAACACCGAACAAAGGTCATAGTGCGTTAACAAGTTTCAATTACACTACAGTCATGCTACATGGAAGACGATAACAATCGTCTTGTTCTTCGTTTCTCGATAAGTAGTCGTTGGAAAGCTGCGAGAAGAGACTAGTTGGTCACAAAGAATGTGTCCAAACCTCCTTTCCCCTAAATGCTCACACACTGTTAATGGGTGAACACCTAAATTCATCTTTTTACTTCTTCACATCCTCCCTTGTCTTACTTTCCTAAATGCTCCGTCTGTTAACTCCCTTAAATCAATATATATATTTATGTCGACTTTAAATTTCATTAGCCGTTTTCACGCTTTCTCTTTTTCCTTTTAAGTCTACACAATCTACATGGAAATTTACCGAAGACCAGGAACCTTCACCTTACAATCAAGATTCGAGCACAAAGAAATCAGTTTGTTTAACACTAGTTGATAAAATGGCATTGGAAATTGGATTAGATGTATGCAGAGCGTCAGTTAATGGTGTGCGTTACGCATCAGCATGGTGGTTTTTGTGTGCACGCAGTGCAATGCCACATTAAAAAAGTCTGCAGTAAAAAATCATCTATCTTTTAAGAAGTGTACTATGGTATCATGTGTGGATTGTCACAAAGACTTTGAGTAAGTTTTCAAAAAAATAAGTCAAAATAGTGTTGAATTTAACTAATGGTAGTATAAACTCAGTGGAATCTCACTGCATCTGTATTTCGGAAAAGGAGAAGTATGACAAGGCAAGGTTCAAAGAGTCATCAAAAGGCAACAAAGTTTGTACACAATCAGAATGGATCATGAAAATCGAAGATTTAATTGAAAATTGTCAGTCGACAAACCATAAGAGACTTCTTGAAAATCTACGGGGCTGCCACAATATACCGAAAAAGAAAAATAAATTCGAGGTATATTTCTTATCTGAGTAAGAGAGACTGCACAGAACTTTATGAAATCGAAATATCGTGGTATACCACCTCAAACCATTGATGAGATATGGAAATTATTAGAGTCCGTAAAACCTGTGCCTAAAAACACTGTCCCATCGTTGTCACAGGAGAATGTATCTGTTGAGGAACCGAAGTCTAAAAGACAGAAGGTAGACGGTAAGTCCTGCTTGCCATAACTATTACCTATCTAATTTCAGTTAATGGATGTCATTTCCAGTTGTCTGTCCAACATGTACAGCATATCTTGACAGAATTTGGCGGTAAAGCACCGTTCAGCGATGTGAGGAAAAAGGTTCGTGTCCAAACACCCTCTGATTTAAAACTTCCATTTTTAATTCGTCAGTATACGGTCTTTAAGTGTATTTTTGTGGTTTTTCATTGTTACTCAATACAAATCATTCTGGTGAAACTGTAATGACCCGACAGCCAGACACATCGTACTCAGTGAACGAACGGTATATTAGTACACAAAAATAGGATGTTCACTTGAGGAAGCTTTGTAATCTGATTCCTGTAAATAAGCCACGTCTAAACACATCACAAAAGAGTACGATAATTTTTAAAATTTTATAAGTTGTGAATTGGGATATGTACTTACATCAACAGAATATCTTAAAATGCCCCTAGGAAGTCAATCCGTCTAACCTTCAGATTTTTGTGCAGTGGGATATACTGTTTTATGACTGGAGCCAGAACGCAAATTTACCTGAAATTTAAGGTCGGGATTAGAGTCAAATACAACACTTATGCTCAGGCATGAACATCTTTCCACTGTTGATTTCCCCTTTTTTATTGAAGTCCTGTAGAGGATGTAGTACTCGTATATACTGAATGCTTAAAGATCTGCTTTGTCGCCAACATTTCCTGTTTTACAAATGACATAGTAGAACTAGATATTCAATCTCATCACTTTTTGTAGCGTTTTTTAAAAAACGTTTACGAAATCGACCAGTTTAGTATTAGCCAAGTGAGATGTAACTAGTTATCAGGTAAGTCGTTCTTACGAAGTGGTCTTCCACGTAACGGTCGGTTATCAATTTTTTGTAGTGATCCAAGTCCTAGATATATGACTAAAGTTAAAGGTTATGCGATTGTCTTGCCCAAAACAAGCGGAGTAAGTTATGCGCTTTTATTTCACCCTTAGTTTTATAAGGCTCCCCGTCATGGAAAATCAGGTATACATATAACTCTTACGCGGTGTATATTTAATCTGATAAGATAGCATTAAAATGCGTCTTAGATGTTATTCAATGCTCTGCGGAAATGTTAAGGTTGCGTATTACTCTAGAGACATACATCGTGGTCTGCTGTTTTTTTTTATTATTGATTTGCACGCATTATATGTGAGTACAAAGGGAACTGTTTTTTGAAATACCAAAAAGGTATGCAACTCAAGTAGCTTATTTGTTATGAAAATAATTCGTTGAAAAGTATCGGCTCCTATGAATAACTGGTCCCATCCCTTTTTTAATTTTGAGGAATTGTCCACAGGGTGTGACTCGGTATTTACTTGTGTAGGTTCTGAGTTACCATGAAATTTATTCATAGGACTTCAGTAACCTTGATTCAAATCCTCTTCACTGGTGCAGACTTTGTTCCATCCGTCGAAGTTTGAGTAGCCAACTGGTGAACTCAGTCCCAACATAATAGTAGCTTGTTTCTTATAAATGACGCTTAACAGAATGAAATGGTGTTTTCTGTTATTGGTTGCCCTCCTTTAACAGTCATAACGCAACTACTTTTCTCTTAAAATGTTGATAGTATAGTTTATCCCGCTAAAATACCGGTCTACAAGCTAATTCAACATTTAAATGTGGCTTCTTCGAGCTTGACCTATTACCATGTTCTTGTATGTACATTTTGGATGAAAAATTGTAAATAAACACGTATTTGAAGTAGTGTAATTAAAATCATCACCATTTCACTGGCTGTAATAACATGCTGATTATTTTTGACTGGTAATGTTAAGTAACAGGTACCAATTAAACTTTCCTCATCTAAATATGCGATATTTGGCTTTATTCTATAACATTTCAGACAAATGCCTCCGTTGATTCCTTATTTTTACCTACAGATTTACAGTACATACAAAGCCTCAGTTACTTCTCCTGAGGAATGCATAACAAAAAAGGAATTCAAAGCTAATCTGTTAAACTTCATTCAAGACTCCGAGAACCTAGTTTATTCACCCACTGACGGAACAATCAGCATAACTACCAAAGGCGATCTTCCTCAAACACGTGTTGGTAAGTGACTGGTTTTGTTTACCCGAATCATAGATTCAACTCGGACTTCAAACTCTCAATCACATCACGTCAAAGAAGTTCCCGTTAACGAAGCTGATCAAGTACACAAGTCCAAGAGCATGAAAAAATTACTAAATACAACACTACAGGAATTCGGTGGACGAATTTCACTGAAGAAGCTTGTTAAAAAGGTGAGATCAATAGGTTCCAGGCGCTATAACTTTTCGTGTTTCTCAGTCATGATAGAGCTGTAGTTAAATTCAGTCATTTGTAATAAGATTTGACAAGGGAAAAATACTTGAATACATAAAAAATCAATAGTTCAGTGTTCCAATCAATGGACCAACATGGAACGTTATATAGAAAAACCTTAAATAAGAAGACAACAGGAATTGGATTAGAGAAACTTGAGTGTATTAAAAAGAAAACAGTTGGACAGCATTAGGTAAAGATTTCAGAATTTCGAAAGTAGGAAATATGTGTTTGCGCCAATGTAAGCGAGTCTCCCATCGGAATTCTTGACGTTTGCGGACTAACCTTTCAGCCAACATATCAACTTGGTTTAGCTCATTGATTTGTCACTTAATGGACTAATGCCTGTTTCAGTCTGCAATCTTAAATTTTAAAATACTAGTTCTTTCCTAGACATAGCTAGTCATCTAGTGTGTAGTTTTGTTGTTTGGTGTGATGGTGGCTATCAAGGAAATCCCGGATACGTGTTTCGTTCTATTTGGTAGTGGTCAACTAGATGTACATGCGTCCCTGGTAGGTGGTAATGATGCCATCGTTTCGAGCGACAAGGCGTTATTTATTGAACAACGAGAGACACTTGTTTTGCGACGGGTGTTAGTTGATTTTCGCCGAAATTATTTTGAATTTAATTGGGCTGAAACCTAAAGTCTTTTTAGATATGGGACCATGCGTAAACTAGAAACATGTCTTATACCATCAGTGGTGACTTTAATGCTCAAGTAGGGAAATTGTGTCAATCTGAGAAGAATGTCGGTGGCACATACGGAATTCCGTGCCAGCGAACCGACAACGGTGACCGTCTCCTACAGTTCTGTTCAGATAATCATTTGTATCTTGTAAGCACTAACTTCAAACACAAGGAGAGACACTGTTTGACCTGGCGACCCCCATCATCAAATCAACGCTGGACACAAATAGACCACATAGCAATAAGCTATCGTTGGCGTGGGTCGGTAGGGGATTGTCGCTCCTTCTGGAACACGTGTGTAGATACCGATCACGCACTGGTCCGCGCTCGTGTATGCTTACGACTGAACGGACGTAGGAAACAGCTGGCGGTAAACCCATCACGTCCCCAGCTCGATCAGGAAACTAAGTCCCTATTTGAGGAAGAACTAGCTAAACACATCTGAGTTCGACAGCTGCGCTCACCCTGAAGAAGCCTGGAAGAATATTCAGTCAGCCATAGATACAGCCGTAAAAGCTGTGAATAAGGTAAATCCAAAGGTGAGTAAAAACCATTGGATTTCGACTGTCTCATCCGAACTGATAGATGCTAGAAGACTTATTCCGACGAGCTCCGAATTCAATGAGGAGCTAAAGCTGCACAAAAAGAAACTTACGAAAAGTCTCCGCAAGGACCGTGAACAGTGGTGGTTGACAAAGGCGAAAGAGATGGAAAAAGCATCGGCGATAGGCAACACCAGACAACTATTCAGGCTTATCAGGGAAACAGGTGGTAAAAGGCAAATGATAAGCGAAACAATCTCCGAGAAAAATGGCACCATAATTAGCTCCCAGGATAGACGTCTGGAGCGCTGGAAAGAACACTATGAGGAGCAGTTTAATTGGCCCACAACCACACTTAACCTGCCGGACATCCAACACCTCCCTGAATGGGAGTTAGACACAGGTCCTCCGTCCTTAACTGAGGTTATTAAAGCTGTCACCAATCTGAAGCAAGGCAAAGCAGCGGGACCTGATTTATTGACTCCAGAGGTATTTAAGTATGGTGGAGACAGTTTACTGTCTGCATTAACTGAGGTTCTAGGCAGCGTCTGGGAATCAGAGGAAGTCCCATCGGGTTGGTGTAAGTCACTGATCATCCCGATATACAAGAAGGGAGACAAGTCTTCTTGTGATAATCACAGAGTGATTAGCTTGACTAATATAGTATCTAAAATCCTAGGCTCAATAATACTGCGTAGACTAAGTGGTGCTCGGGAGACACAAACACGAGAAAACCAGGCAGGTTTTAGGCCAGGTAGAGGGTGTATTGATCATATCTTCACCCTTCGACAGATTCTAGAACATAGGCATTCCTACCGGCGTCCGACAATCATTATATTTCTTGATCTAAAGGTGGCATTCGATTCTGTCGACCGGGAGGTTCTCTGGCGATGCTTGGCTGTAAAGGGAATGCCAAGAAAATACATTGCACTGATTAAGGCACTCTACTCGTACTCATGCAGCCAGGTGAGGGCTTATGGCGAGTTGCTATCTGAAGTGGTGACGACTAATGGCGTCCGTCAAGGATGCCCATTATCCCCATTCCTATTCAACTTCATCATAGACGTACCAATGGACTTAACCCTAACACACTTCAGCGACTCAGGGATTGACTTGCTACCAGGGAATAATCTCGTTGACTTAGAATATGCGGACGATATAGTCCTTCTAGGCGAGGACTCTGACAAAATGCAGAGTCTACTGAACACCCTGAGCAACAATCTTCGTATGTTTGGCATGCGATTCGCCCCTGTAAAATGTAAGATGATGCTGCAGGATTGGACTTCGCCGACCCCTAGATTAGAAATAGGAAGTGAAGTGGTAGACCGCTTCACTTACTTGGGAAGTACCATCAGCCCCAACGGGTTGATCTCCGACGAAATTTCAGCACGAATACAGAGGGCTAGGTTCGCATACGCCAGTTTTCGCCGTCTCTGGCGCAGACGTGATATCCGACTACCGACCAAAGGGCGTGTGTACTGCTCAACAGTCCGCTCCGTCCTCCTTTATGGCTGTGAGTGAGACATGGCCATTGAGAGTGGAAGACATGAAAAGATTAGCTGTCTTCGATCATAGGTGTCTGCGTTGTATCTCCCGCGTGAAGTGGTATAATAAGGTGAGCAATATTCAGGTTAGGCGTCAAGTGCTAGGTAAGGCGGGGAAATCAATAGACGAGACTGTGAAATTGCATCGACTGAGATGGTTAGGACATGTATTACGTATGCCTAGTCATCGCCTTCCTCGATGGGCAATGTTAGCTGATATAGGGCCAGGCTGGAAAAGAGCTAGCGGCGGTCAAACGGAAACATGGCACCAGTCAATGAAATCCACAACAGTTAGTCTAAGCCACGTAGGAAGATGTAGACTTCCTGGTTGGGTCCTCGGGATGGTAAAAACCAATGGTTGGAAACAATAGGTGACATGGCTCAAAATCGTTCTCAGTGGCGCAGATGCATCCACTCCTTGTAACTTATGATTTCCAATGAAACTGTTTTGTTCTCCGTTATTACTATTCCTTTGTCTCACACCTGTTTACTGTCTATATTATGCATTTCTTCTACTTTCTTCTCTTGCTTTGTGTGCTACATAGATTGTGGCGACTTGAACTGCCGCACATATGTGCAAAGTTCTATGTCGAAAACCGACCGACCGACCGATACCATCAGTTCAGTTAGGTTGTAACCACTGTTAATTATTGATAGATAAGTTCAATAATACGAAAGACAAATGCGCAGTTGTTTTATTAAAAATTGTTTACACTTCAAACTTTATTGTTTCCATTATTCACTCAAGCCATTGGAAAAATTGCCCATTTGTTTAGAACAATCTTTTAATTAATTGTTAAAGTATAAATATGTGTACAGTGGTACATCACTCAACTATTGGTGCTGTTTTGTTTGAAATCACATATTTGCCTTTCGTGTCTTTTCTCAGGGAAATTCGAATCAGTATACCAAACGAAATGTTGGTATTACTTATTTCATTTTCATTGAGATTTAGACAATTATAATTGTCTTTACATGTTTACTTTTCACTCGGCTTTCGAATTATTATGGAACTAATCAATCAACTCTTGACCTGAGTTCGTATAAATGTATGTGTCTATCATTTCTTAACAGCATTTACATGTAAATAGAGCTGACGTCACATGATATGCTGATGGCTTACGTTTAAGCTTATATCAAAAGAGACTGAAGATTTCATTCCAACGAAAATCAAAACAGTTTCAAAAAATAGCTAGTACCTATTGCTAATGACATTTTCACTGTGAGGAAAGTTTTTTTAATTTTATTAATGGCGTTTGATTTTCGGAGTAGTTATTACCAACGTCAGCCAACGTAAACTTTTAGAGAGTTGAAATACTGTTTTATTAAGAGTGTTCCATTATCAAGCTCAAAATTCAGGTATTCCTGCTGTAATAGTTTGAATTCTAAATGCTCGTGAAATTCTCTTAAAGATCGAGGTATTAATAGTCAAATTAAGAATCTGAATTATTTACAAAACGGTTCAGGTAAAATATTTCACTTCAAAACAATTAGTGTAGAGATTGACAAGTAAGGAAATCATGTCGCTAGTCATGAATACCAGTGAGAAAAAGATTTCCGAGAGTTTGTCTGTTAGAATTTGATTTGTCTCAAGTTTGATCGAAGATTGACATGAGTTAGAGAAGGACTGAAAATCAGGTAGTACTGGACAGTTGTCCCGTCCTTTTAGGGACTCATCAGTTACGAGCTGTGCCCGGATCTCTGGTGGGAAGTTGTGACCAGCGGGTTCTGCCCGGTCGGGAGTGAGGCCGAATACTCGCCACGGATGACACTGGCTGGTGGTCGTGGTAAAATAATCACGAATCGGTAGGAGTTAGAATTCATGGGCCATTGAGTCGAATCCCAGTGGTTGAATGGTCTATGAGCTTGCTTTGTAACCGGAAGGTCCTGGGTTCGAAGCTCGGTAGATGCCTACTGACGGTGAGTCCCAAACTGGGACAAAACAACTGTCTAGTACTTCCTGATTTTCTCTGGTTCTCTAAATGACATCAATCCGTGACCAAACTTGAGATAAAAATTGCTTAGATAGTACTTTAGATTTCAAACTACCCCAAAAACGTTAACTTCTGTAACCAATTCATTTTCTTGTCAGTTGAAAAGTTGTATTCATCTATTTCTTTTTCTTATTTCTCTCGTATATCCACAGGTCTATGTACAAACTCTAGGTCCAGATGGTCAAAACACAACCTATTCTACTAAAGATGAACTGAAAAATGAAATTGTGCGTAAAATTAATAAAAGTAAATCTATTAAACTTTCAGAGGACGGTAAATTGGTTGAACTCTGTACATAGAATCATGTATATAATAATTTGTATAAAATTATTTAAATCTACGTATTTATTTCAGTCAGTCTTTATTCTTTTGATACACACCAAGGTGGCATTAAACTCTAGTTTAATTTAAAGTTGTCGAAAAATGTATGGGTTATTTTCAGCACTATGGGCTAATTCTTGTTACAGCTGTCACTTCACTGTTACCACTGGATTATTGGTGTAAACTGTTTCTTTTGCCTAGAGTATACTGAGTGATACATTAAGCAATAGCACAGTATGCATTACCGGCGGCTTGGCACATGAATTCGTATTCGGTTAATGAATTACATTTAAATGTTCCAGAAGACAGACGTGTAAACACCATGCTTATTGGTGAGTTATAAATGATGAACACTATCAGTCATCACTATCTCAGTTTTCTGATGTGCTTAATTAAATCGGAGATAATTTCGGCATAGATAAAACATGTATCTACTGTAATTATCTTTATCATGGGGATTTAAAATGGTTATCTAATTCTGAATAGAGCAAGAACAACAGTTTGTGCAGAATAAGATGGTTCCATCATTGTTTATTTCGTTGATTTCTCATCAGCCACGTAAACATTGTCTATTCCATGGTAACTTTCAGTAAATTAACTTCTGGAGAGTACAACCTTCCAGGCATTGCATGGCGATGTCGAGGAAATGAAACTTTCTATCATTTTCATGTTCCATAGTGAATTCAATATTTGTATGTGCGTCACTCCCTTACGTCGCTAAGCCAGAAATAATGCTAGTGAAGAGGAAAGGTTGGGCATGAGGCCAGCAACTCCATCCTGTAAAATAAACACTGCTACAGAAAATTCAAGCCACAAGCTTGAAGCCCTATGTTCCACTGGGGAACGTGAAGGAAAAAAATGTGCATCACTGAATAATCCGAGTAGGTAGGAAGCATGACTTTCATTGTTGCACACTACAAATGTGTCATCGAAAATTAGAAGTTGCTTCGTCAGTTGCAGACTTCAACTTTGTTCTCCCAAGGATTGACATAAAGTTGTCTGCCAAAATAGGTCTAAGTGGACTGGCCATACCTACCCCATCTACTTGGCGGTAAAGAGTGTTGTCAAACTGGAGCTGTATATCTTTGGTACACATTAACAGCAGGTGTTTAGATTCTGACACTGGGAGTGTTGGAAGATCAAAATGCTGACAATTGATATGGAAAGTTCCATTGTGATTGGGATCTTTGTGAACTAGGAAGTTACATGAAATGACGCCATGAACTTATTTAGAACGTTCATGTGGTCCAGGCTCCTGGCAAAATGTAATAAATCTTTCATGGTGCACGCAGCTAGCTGTTGGTGAATGGGTTCCGATTTCTCCACAAGCCAACGAACAACATTGTGCTAAGGTGAGTTGATCATAGAAAGTATAGGTCTCAGGGGGACATGCTTTTTGTGTTTTTGGTAGGCCATATGTATAAAACAAACGAAACTCTTGGAGTTTTAAATCGCTGTCAATCAATTTCTTCTTTATGAGATCTCAAAACGTTTGAGACGCTGTTTTCAACTGCATCTGTCTTATCTTCCCGGCAGTCCTCCGTTTTAAACCTCAATGGGTCATTTAAAACAGTTCTCACCTTTGCAACGTATTTGTCTTTGTCCATCAACATCACCCTTGGGCCTTTGTTTGGTCACAAAATGATGATTTTGTCACTATTTTCGATAGCTTTCAATGCTCCTCAGAAAGAATTTTAGAATATGACGTTGGTGAAATGAGGTACTGATTTACAACGTCAATTAAGATTTGAATCATCTCTTTTAAGCCCGGTGAAAAGAGAAGTTTTGGATGTGAGGTGGATAACTCCACCCAGTAGAGAAAAAGCATCACCGTCACTGAAACTTGAAGCCTCAGGATGAAAAAAACAAAACAAACAAAAAGACCCTGCGAATAACTGGTTGAAAATGTGGTTAACTGACGCGTCAGCGTACAACTTAGCACAAAAGAGCAACAGTTCAGTTTGTCATAATTGAATGGAGGACAAAATAAGGGAACAACGAGATGAAGAAGTGAATAATTTAGTGATGAATTTCAGGGTCTAAATGACAGTCAGAAATAAATACACATTAGCCATCGGGGTAAGTTTGTTTTAAATTACTGAAATAGAAGCATATTTGCAAATATATAAGTAAAAGAGATAAAAAAATGTAACAATGATCCATACTAGAAAAATAAAAGAGTTTCTTGATGAATACTGCTATATGTTCTAACATTTTTAAGTACGCTTGTCTTTAACATTTAGGAATTGATTTCCTCTTTGATTATTTCCATGATGAATAAAAAGCTTATGACATCCAGTTTGGTGAGACTACACCACCCATGTATTCGATAAATTTCTATTAGTAAAACTAGGATTAGATAGTTATGTGTAAAGGAAACATGCATTTTTCAAGTTTTCTAATGAGTGCTTGCAACCTAATCAAGAGTTCAGAGTAAGTATAAAGAGAGTTCTGTGGTGAGAGCTGTTTGCAAGCTAAAATTGTAGGCAACAATTGACGTCAATGTTTACGGCCCAAATTGGGGTCATGAGGAAAAACAAAAAGAAAGCCTAACCTTGAGGAACTCAACAACCAATCACGGCAGACTCAGTGTGATCGGATACGATTCGCAGATATATCACTGGATTGTTTAAGAAGCAGCAACAAGAGATGACAGAATAACCTTCAGCAGGAAAACAACTAATCAGAAGATGTTGCTTTTATGCTAAAATAACGAATAATAATGTACATAAAAGTCTATAAATATCTGTTGATTTTCTCAATAAACAAACTGTTGCCTGACCATTGTCTTCTGTCGTTGCAGTTCTACTTATAATCTACTTTTCTATCACAATCACAATGGATTAATCCATTTCAGTTTCTACAGTCCTTTTAAGAATTTCAAATGTACTTTCGTACAAAATCACTCGAAGTGATGATCACTAGTTAAATTTCAGGATGAAAATTATGATCTAAGTGATAAAACTTAAACTTAACGGAAGTAGGTGGTATTCTGAGCGAATAAACTAAATTGGGCAATGATTTTTGAATGTTCTGTATTTATAAAAAAAATACCAATGGGTCTCAATGGTGACTACTACTGGTACAAAGGACATATGCTTTGCTTTTTTCAATAATTTAATAATTCCCATTGTAGCATTAAGAGCACAATATTCAGCAAAGAGACTCTTTTCAACGATCTCAGTCCTGTCTTCACTTTAAAGTCATCGTTCAGTTTCCCGTTGTGAATCACGTGACATGTGACATTATGATGTAGCTGTTGAATGAAGTTGATGAAATTCCCGGGCACTCTGTAGTGTTGAAGCAGTTTCCAAATCACTTCAAGGTCACAGCTGTCGAAGGATTTTTCGAAATCGATGAAGTTGAGGTAGATATTTGACTGCCATTCTACGCTCTGTTCGGTGATAATGAATAGCGTTGCGTACAATTACATTAGTTTGACTAAATATATGAAACAAAGTAGAGTTTATACATTAATTAGTTAACGAAAAATAGCTAGCATCTAGAACAAAATATTCAGAGGAGACTCCTTTCAAAGAATTTATTATCATGCTGTACAATTGTGTAAATATGGTTTCTGAGAAATCACATCCGGTGATGGAATTGAATCAAACAGGTGAATACATGAAATAATAATAGTATGAAATGCAATTAAAATATTTGTGATTATAATCATAGTTAAATGTCAAGTAGCAAAACATACATACAGAATTCATAAGATGTATAGGTGTTGGAAAGGGGTGTTTAATTATGGGATTAGTAGGCTAATATAAAATGTTACGTAACATGATGTGAAATTTGATAAGATAGAATTCCATTTTGTAAAAGAAAATTTTGGATTTAGAATGACAAGTGGGACAAGCGGAAACAATTCAGAGTGAGAACAGTAGTAATAATCGTAGTAACGAGGGAAACGTACATAGACTAAATAACTAAATAAATAAACTGATGATACATTTAAATTTATTGAGAGTAATAAAGATTTTAATTGGTGGATGGTGGCTAGCAGTGGAATCCAGGATGCGCATTTCGTCCTATTTGGGACTCGTCATCTGGATGTACCGAGCACTTCGGTCCAATCAATCGACGGGAAAAATCTAAAATTCAATTATATTAAAGATCTTAGTGTCTCAGACAAAGTCATGTTCTCATTAGGTGTGACTTCGTGGTTTACTAATGTAACTCTCATGGAAACTGTTTGCTATATATGTGGTTATTTTGATACACATAGTTTAGAAGTAAGGTTGCGGACAATTCACCTCAAGGAACTCTTATTGAGATGCACGTTGAATGTTCAGTTCACCTTCAATGAATTTTTTAGACAGAGAGATGGTATTGCGATGGGACCACCATTGGGTCCATTGCTGGCTGACTTTTTTATGACAAAGCTTTAAAACACTCAACTTAGTCAAACCATCGGGCACTTTGACATTTATAAAAGATACGTACACGACACTTTCGTTATCTGCTATAAGAACGTAATTCTTGACGATGTCTTGTTTACATTCAACAGCTGTCATCCTTCTTTACAATTCACAGTCGAAAAGAAATCTGAACTAGGTATTCCTTTTCTTGATGTGTGCCTTAGTAGACGCAGTGAAGAATCTCTCAAAAGATCCATCCACCGGAAACGTACATGGAATGGACAACTAACTAATTTCTATAGTGGGGTACATATCTCCAGGAAAAGGAACCTAATTCAGTCCCTCTGTTTTAGGATAAAAATACATTTGTAATTCTGATTGCGTTGAATCAGAACTTGACTTCCCAAAAGCCACGATCGCACAAAACGGTTACCCAAACTGATTTATTGACAGTAACATGAAAGATAAGCAGTCTAAACTGGTCACCGACTCAGTTCCAAAGAAAACTTTATTCATGAACTTGGAATTCAAAGGTGATCAAGCTTCAGGTGTGCTCAAAAACCATCTCTCTAAATAAGTCAGTACGACGTTCTTTGCAGCAAAATTACAAATGACGTTCACCAACGGCATGTTCTCCATCTCTGTTAAAAAATTAAGCTCCTGCGTCTGATCGCCTTAATGTACATCTATCAGTTCACCTGCTCTTTTGGAGCAAGGTACATTGGCCGTAGACAGAGGACACTTTCCACTCACGGTTACGAGAACATATTCCAGCATGGTTTTACAAGAGAGAAAGGAAGTGTGTTCGAAGTTCTATTCTAGAACACCTGATCGACTCCTATCACTCCACCAAACCTGACCATGATTTTAAGATCATCTACCGAATCCGTGCTAACTTGCCACATTTTCTCCGTTATGGACTTATAAAGACAGCGGAGGCCTTGGCAATTCATGAATTTAAGCCAGACCTTTGTAAACAAAAAAGTATCTACAATCTCTACCTCTGCCTTGGCCGTAGAGGGATTAGACATTTGTTTATTTAGTTATTTAGTCTATGTACGTTTCCCTCGTTACTACGATTATTACTACTGTTCTCACTCTGAATTGTTTCCGCTTGTCCCACTTGTCATTCTAAATCCAAAATTTTCTTTTACAAAATGGAATTCTATCTTATCAAATTTCACATCATGTTACGTAACATTTTATATTAGCCTACTAATCCCATAATTAAACACCCCTTTCCAACACCTATACATCTTATGAATTCTGTATGTATGTTTTGCTACTTGACATTTAACTATGATTATAATCACAAATATTTTAATTGCATTTCATACTATTATTATTTCATGTATTCACCTGTTTGATTCAATTCCATCACTGGATATGATTTCTTAGAAACCATATTTAAACTACTGGCATGGTGAGATTTCGGTATGCGTCGGCCAGGAAAACCTGTGTAAGATTTAAAGGTATGAAATATCTCCATATCATGAACTGAAAGTCAAATTGGTCGAAGAATATTTTTTTAAAATAATTCCTCCTCTTCAGGTCCTTACAATTAAAAAATATAATGCTTGCTATCGTCACTGTAGTGGCCAGTTATGTGGTGGGGTAGATTTCTATGCGGAATAAAAGGTTAGTTATATTGTGACAAAATAAATAGTATTTGTGTGACAAATATGCTGGAATGAATGCACTTACAAAATATTGTGCGATACAAGACAGTGATGATGGTGACTAGTCATAATAGATTCTTAGAATGTGGTGAAGGAAAATTGATAAGTCAGTTCAGGCTTATGAAAGGTGTCAAATGAGATAGGAAGACGTCAATGAATAGTTCATCATGAAATAACCAATACGTCTAGGGATTCGAGAACATATACCAACTTGGTTCAGCTAATGGGAAATCAAATGCATAAAAAGTTCGATTCCGTCACACATGGTCGATAGTGGACATCGCACCGACTCCAACATAGCCTTCAAGGTTATATACTAAATTCCACAGTAATAGTTATGTACAGTTCACTTAAGTCTCCTACATATAGCTGAAACTGTTGCAATCAGACTGACTAACCCAGAACTTTGTGTTCAAAAAGAACACGTTCAGGTACTGTTACAATAGTGGCCAAACTTGGATTAAAATTTCTCCCCAAGAATGCATCCTCTCTTAATCCTTTTTTCTTTGCCTATAATAATAATAATAATTATTCATTATAATTTATATCTTTCATTCTTGTATTCTTTCATTATTATCCAATTTTCCATTTATACCATTCGGACTTATTATTAGTGATATTATCCCTTTTCTTCACATATTGCTAATTGCATGATGAACTCTATTCACCACACAGACTTGCCGTCTTCTGTTTTATGCATACCATTTTGTACTAGCCATTCACCTGATACCTTTTATAACCTTGAACTGACTTGCTAATTTTCCTTCAGCACATTTCTAGAATCTAGTATGACTAATCACCACCATCGCATCTGATTTCGCAGTATCTTGTATCTGAATTCAGTCCAACATGTTTGTCACACAAATACTATCTATTTTATCACTTTATGACTAGTCTGTTATTGTACATAGGAAAGCATCCATCGCATAACTGGTCACTACTGTAACGATAAGATAGTTTATAACTGTAAGAACCAGAAGAGGAGAAATTATTGAGAAGGATATTCTTCGTTCAGATTGACTTTTAAATCCTGTGTAGCTTAGCTAGCTAGCTGTTAAGCATTCTGCCATTGAACCATTGATTCACTAATATCTCAAATATTGAAGGGAAAGAGATCAAGTGTTTCAGATTCTTATTCAAGTAATGGTTTGTGAGGATTTGATTGTTTGGTTACAAGATTTCATCATGAGCTGACATGGGTTAGAGAACTATTGGAAAACCTGCATGGAATACTGGACAGCTGTTTCGTCCTACTTCGGGACTCTTCATTAATACCCACCGACTGAGAGGTTCGAACCCAGGACCTTCCGGTTACAAGGCGAGCTCGTAGACCATTAAGCCACTGGGACCTGATCCAATGGACCATGAATTCCAACTCCTACCAATTCACGACATAGCGCGATCTGTGGCCAATATCTTTGGTGAGTATTTTTCCTCATAGCCGACCAGGTGTACCCTACTGTTTTAGATTCTATTTCGTTTTTTTTTGGCTAGTTCATACAAGTGAAAAGTAGTCACCACCCAATATTTATTAAAAAGTTACAAAAGTGAAATCACAAGTTTAAAAGCAAATGACAAATACTAGTAGTTATTACAATGTAAATTTAAATGACAGTTACAGGCAAATAGTTTTTTTTTATTGGTACACCTACCAACAAAAATGGTATGACATTTGAGATGAAGAAGACTTTTATGTATTTTTTTTTCAAATTTAAGAAATGTGCATATCAGATCAGTGGTGTTGATTCTGAGATAATGAAGAATTATAAGATGAGTGAGTAATTTATTTTATTCATATCAGAACAAGTTATATGAATAATAGTTCTATGCTTTTAGTGTTGATCAGAATGTAAATGAAAATGTTTTGTTTTAAAAAGTTTTTTATAATGAACATCTTGATAACGATCAACCTAAAACCATATGAACAGTATATTGAAGAAAAAGTAAACGATTATTTGGTAGAACAAAAATATTTTGCATATATTTCATTTCTTTGGAGAATTGTGATAACGCCTTATCGACAGCATGTATTTTTCTTTGTACTTGCTTCACTTTTCAAATTGTGAAGTGTTTGAAGTTCATAGACCTCTTTTTCTTTGAGTTTTCTTGAGTAAATATTAAAAGAAGAGAAATAAAAATCTTTATTTTTGAAAGATATTGTCAGTTAGTTAACTAGTTAGTTAGTTAGTCATGCTTCTTACCCTACTGATAAGAAGATCTGGCTTACGTGCGTGGATGATTTATGTTTAGTGAAATACAAACTCGAAGACTTACAAGCGAAAAACAACTAACTCGCTGAAATGACAGGCAGTGAAGACAGGACTCTCGGTGAACATAGAGAAGGCGGTGGTGATGAAGACAACCGACCAACAGCAACAACAAACAATCACCATCAACGAGAGAAATTTGAAAGAGCTGACTTCCTTCACTCATCTAGGAAGCAATGTTCCAACTCCAGGAGTAACGGAAGATGTCAAAGCCAGAATGGGAAAGGCAAGGTATACCTTCACCAATCTGAAATTGGTTTGGAAATCTTCTGCACTCAGTCAGCATACAGAACGAGTTTCGGATTTTGAACACCAATGTGAAGTTAATCAGTTCTACTATATGGGTCAGAAGCTTACTCTGCACGTCACTGAAAGCATTTCCAATAGGTTGCAGACTTTTATCAACATCTGCCTTCACTGGTTTCATATTGAAGATTAAATGTCCAGAAGGAATTGGCAACAAGAATCTCTGGAACGAACCAACCAAGAACCTGTCGTTCAACAAATATATAGGAGAAAAAAGAGATGCATTAGGCACCTGCTGAGGAGGCCATCGAATGAAATCGTGCGCCAGACCATCACTCTAGTGGAACCCGGATGGGAAACAACGAGTAGGTTGTCTTGGGGTTACATGGAGGAGAACACATGGGAAAGAGATGAGAGATTATGGGCAATCGTAGGGGGAGCTGGAGAGGACCGCAGAAAATAGAACAAAGTGGAGATGTATTGTTGAAGCCCTATTTTCCACTCAGAACTCAAGAGAGCATTAATAAAACTTACCTCAGTGTCATCTACAGAATAAATGGTTATTCATGCCTTTTAAATTACACAAAGATTTGAATAGTTATACAATTATATAGTGGTTTCATCGATTCCTAAGGAAATTTTCCTCTCCAAATATGTAACCTAAATCCACATACCTGTTGCATCTTCCTACTTCCTGGGAAGTTTACCAGCATGCTGAAAGCCTTGCACAGAATGTGAGAACAGACAACCAGCTATCACCACTGTCTCTAACCAACAGTTGAGTTACACAGAGTTGCTCAATTTCTCCCTAACTTTGCTATCGGTGACATTCTGGAGTCAGCTCCGTAGGATCTGCCTGATGGTGGTGTAGATCTGCTTCCCAGAGAAAGACTTTTCGACCCTGAGTATGTAGACAATATCATCTTCCTGTGTGATAGTATGCCGGCTGCCCAAGTCGAACATAATCAGTTGGCGACCAGTGTCTATACGAATGGTATGTGCTTTGCTCTGTCTAAATTCAAAGTACTTTCGCAAGGTGTCTATACCTGCACCCACTTTTTCAGGTGAACCGCATGAAGTTGTCGATAAGTTCGTGTATCTGGGTAGTTGTGTGAGTACTGGTGGAGGTGTGACGGACGTATAGTTAGGGCTAGGGTAGCATACACCAATTGGGGGCCACTTCTTGCATCATCGCGACATCAGCCTGGTTGTCAGACATTCGGTTTTAAATGATTAAGAGTGGGTGGGCTTGATCTGAGCCTGTGAAAATTGGTCTTATCGAGCAGGGGATGTTTGGCAACTCTTCAAATTCTATCACCGCTGCTTTCAAAGAACTGCTTGCGTCCGATGGCATCAACGTGTGAGTAATTCTGAGGTCCGGCAGCGTATGTTTGAACATGGTGGAGGTCGCGATTCTTTCAGTGTCGTCATCTGGAAATACCGGCTCTGGTAGCTTGTTCATGTGCTATGAATGCCATCCCATAGGCTACCCTACTTGTCGGTGTTCGCTCGTCTTGGGACTGGTTGGAAAGGGAAGATGTAGTCATTCCATGACGCGACATCGGGAGATGAAGGATATTTGTGTTATGTTGGTGTCACCTGGTACATCACAAGTCCTTGGTTGGGATCCTTAAAGATATTTCATACCGATGGTTCAAAACGTTATCAGATACGGCGAAGAATCGCAATCATCGGCGAAAATGCTGCAACGTCCTTCTTTCTCCCCTTTCTGAAAGTAACATGAAGTGATAAATGTTGAGTGACCTTGACAGACATGCTTGGTTCACGAATGACATCCCCATTAATTCTATCCCTAATTTCTTCACATACTGTTGTTTTTATTATTTTTCGTCCCTAGTCTCATGATGTCCATAATGTACCGAGTAGTCAGCACAACTAAAAGTGATATTATCCACAACTTTTTCGCTTGAAGAAATCAGATACCACTCACTTTTGATGCTAATCGGCTTGTTATTGCGTATCATCCAGCTGTCAAAATGTATGTAATCTCTTTCTCTCCAGGTATAAGTATGTATATATTTTTGTATAATGGGTGAGGATTAAAGTGAACAAAAAGTTGGGTCATTGTAGGATTTAAATTAGCAGCTTCCTGATAACTGATTGAAGGGCGAAACATGAAATGTTATTAATTTTGTATGTTCTCAGTCTTATGCTACCTATTGTAAGTAAGTAGTATCATCTTATTTCTTTATTTTATCTTTTTGAACATGAAGCATTACATTTGTTTTCGTTTAGTCTGTTTTTCACAGCGATATAATTGTCCTTATTCTGTATCCTGTTTATGTTTATAACCTTCTCTCTTACTAATTCAATATTGTTCATTAGAATTATGTTCTTCTTATGTCGTTCGCTTCACTTATTACTTTTCCGCTTATTTCATATAACCACATGATACAACTACGTGACGTTTTTGTTTCTCTTTTCATTCTACCTATTAAGTCTAAATGAATGAAGAAATTCACAGTAGAATTTCGCTATCTGATGAATATTATTTGAAATTAGATAAGTTTAATGGGGATATCAAAGATAGATTTGTAATGGGTGTCTACACACAAAGCTGTGTAAGATTTTACGGAAGGTTTTTATCTGCAGAGGTAACCGGCCAATGATTTCTGTCAGGAATGCCCATTGTCCCCACTTCTGTCTAATTCCTCAATAGGTGTACTAATGAAGTTGTTTCTAACCGACTGAGGGATTTATTTTGTTGCAATGGGAGAGTCCTATCTAGTTAGAGTATGCGGATGATACTGTCCTCATGGTCGAAGACACTGATGAAATACAGTACCATGGAAGAACTAAAAGTATCTTCTAGTGGTCCTCCAGTCGAAGACTGATAAGAAGAAAGGCAGTGAGACGGACAAGCTGTTTTGGTAGCTGTGATTTATGTATCTACTGACATGATAACATTACTGTACAGTTTTGATTCATTTATTTATGGCTTGATTTCCTGAGGGATTTGCGATGTCATACAATCAATCAGATATGTTTTATTTACGGCTTAGATTTCTGGTGGTTTTGTAAAAATAATATGCCATGTATTTTGCCTAACAAATGTTGTCGTTCTGACCGGCGTTTTTCCCAGTCTGACTTTTGTGTCTGTCTCAGTGTGGGAGATATTTCCAAGTGATCAGTTGGGATTATAGTGTTGTCTTCTGGAGGCGCATTCTAGTCACGTTAGATGAACCCACAACGCAGTATCACTCCGTCATAACATGCAGGGTCTTCTGAACACACTGAGCAGAAATCTTTGAATGTTTGGAATGAGATTCACTTGCCCCTGTCAAATGTAAGATGATTCTGTAGGACTGGGCTACACGGACTCTTAGCTTAAGGGTAGGGGGTGAAGTGGTGGAGTATGTTGACCACTTCACTTATTTGGTAAGTTCCATCAGCCCTAGTGGACTGATTGTTCACGAAGTTTTAACGAAAGGCTTGTGTGGCATTTGACAACCTACGTCATCTTTGGTGGGATGTGATATCCAGTTATCGATCAACAGATGTGTGTGTGCTGTGCCACAGTTCTCTTTCTCCTCCTTTTTGGCTGTGAAACATGATCACTGAAAGTGATAGATATGGAAAGACTAGCTGTCTTTGACCACGGATACTTGCGTCCAATCTCCTGTGTTTAGTGATATAATATAGCCAGTAATATTGGAGATAGGCATAGAGCATTAAACAAAGAGGGTATGTCGATCGATATGGTTGTGATGTTACATCTATTGAGACGGCTAGGATACTTGTTTCTCATACCACCACATCGTCTTCCTAAACGAGCAATTTTAACTGACAGGATTGGGTTGGGAAAGAGTTAGAGGTGGTCAAATCAAAACCTGTCATCAATCCATGAATTCTTTAACAGTTGATTTGAGCCATCCATATAGGGAGGTGAAGACTGTGTGGTTTTGGCCCTCGGGATGCTAAGAACCACACATTTCTTCTGATTATAGTTCATTTGAATCTCTTTTTCTTTCATTTCTTTACCTCTGTTTACTACACAGACTGTGGAAGTTTGAAATGTTGCACTTCTTTTGAAACTCTGTCAGTCACTTTATTTACACACAATGATACCTTTCGATTTCAGTAATATCCCGAGAAGAACTACCGCCTGTAATCCAATCACCTGTTAGTATTTTATTATTCATACATTTTCAGATATTAGTCATACTTTATATATCTCTTGTAACTATCAAGTATCCATGTGATTAATTCATTCGACACTAACATGGATCTGACGACCATTAATAGGACTTGATGAACTAATATGTTTAAATGATCACAGGCAATACAATTTAGCAATTGCTGATGGCTTGTATTCGTTAGTTAGTGGGATATACTTAATTTACATGCAAACTGTCAACTTAAATGGTGTCCGGTTGAATGGAAAGACTAAAGTGATAAGTAGTCAGTCACATATGCATATTGGATATTATTTATTCTGATAGAAATAAAGTGTGGATAACATTATAACTTACCTTGCCAAAACAGTAAATGCTTCTTCAATATTTTGCCCAGTTTTTGCGCTGACTTCAAAGCACATTGTGTTATATGCCTAAGTTTTTTACAAATAATATAATACTTTAAAAAAGAATTTAAGTAATGGAAGTTATAATACCTAACTTTTCCTAGTACATAATTTGCAGGGGTTTGAAATACATGAATTAAACATTAATTAAAATATAAAGCATATCCAATGACCGGAATTACTTACATTTAGTCCCTAGAATAAGAAGTTATTAAATCAAGATCACATTATTTGCTATTCACTACCAAGTTGTCTGTTATATCTTGCAAGGTGTAACCTGCCTTGTTAGGGTCCTCGGTATTCCAAGAATCAATGGCTAGACACTATGCTAGCGACATTGATCAAAATCGTCAGGATTTCAATGTTATTTGTTTAAAGAAGCCTAGCACGTTGTTGAATACTAATAGTCATTTACGCTGACTGATGACCTTTTAGTTGAATCAATTGCATCACACTATTGGTAATCATGATAAATTAAACATATGAAGCTACACATCTGCATGCCAAGTGATCCGCAACGGGAAAGTCACAGAATCCTATGAAGTGAAGACGGGAGTGAGACAAGCTGGCTTCCTACTATCTCCAATGATTTTCCTGATTGCGGTAGACTGAATAATGCAACAGACAACGGGCAGCGAGGAAACAGGAATAAAATGGACCCACACAAAAACCTTCGACTATCTAGATTTTGCCTATGATATATATGTCTGATTTCCCACAAACTGGAAGGCATGCAAGTGAAAAGCAACAAGTTGGCAGAAGAAGCATCAAAGATAGGTCTTCAGGTGAACATAGAGAAAACAGAGGTGATAAAGATTCCTGGCCCACACCAGCAGCAGCAACAACAATCAGCAGAAATGGGAGAAATCTGAAGGAAGTAACCTCCTTTACCTACATGCCTGGGAAGCATCGTTTCAACTACAGGTGGACGGAACTGATTAGGATATCAAAGCAAGAATCGGGAAAGCAATGTAAGCTTCCATTACTCTCAAGTTTGTGTGGAGATCAACATCATGAAAAATAAGATCCTGATTTTCAACTCCAATGTGTAGTCAGTACTACTATATGGATCAGAATCTTGGCGCATCACGAAAAGCACTTCAAACAAACTACAGACCTTCATCAACAGCTGTCTTCGCTCGATACTCAAGATCAGATGGTGAGAAAAGATCAGCAGCAGGGATCTGTAGCAATGAGAGAACCAACCGAGCAGGAACCGATTGTGCAAAATATATAAGGGAAGAAATGGAGGCGGATTGACCATATTCTGAGAAAACCATCAAGTGACATCACATGCCAGGCCATCTCTCGAGTGGAGCCCGAATGGGAAGCGGCGAGTTGGTCGTCAGTGCGAGGGTCACATGGACGAAGTCATGCGAAGAGGAGATGAAAGCATGTGGGCAGACATGGAGCCAGGCGAAAACGTTGACAGAGAGCCGAACGCAGTGGAGACGTGCAGCTGAAGTCCTATGTCCCTCTAGGAACTAAAGGAAACAGCAGTAATAATAATGGAGCTACACAAAGAACGCTGACTAGTATATCTTTGAAATATATGCTATTTCCAAAACTCACTGAAACTAAATACTTTGGGAGTACTTGCAATATCAGCTACTTATGCTTGTACAACATTTATAATACTGAAGTATTATGGTATACGTCTAGGCTTCTAGTGGTAGGATGCAACTGATCCGGGTTCTACCCCCGCTGACGGACACATAAACCTTACCTAGCTGGTAGTAGATCCGGAAGAGATGGAAGATTGGACGTGGAGTTAGCGATCATACCCCGTATAACCTAAAATGCTACTGAAACTTCGAAAGATAAAGCTCGAAACCCTATACCCCACTCGGAAAGTAAAGAAACGGGTAAAAGCATTTTAGTATAAGTCAGATATCTACTGTGTTATATCCTTGTACTGGAAATTATGAGAGTTTGATTAAACATTTAATGCAGTAAAATATCAGCCGATAATATTCACTGGTCTTCTTAAACTATTTTGGATTACCTCAATGTATAACGCCAAACTATATTTACATTTTTATCATAATCTTTGTTAGCTATTGTTGCTGATAAAAATTTAGCATGTGTCAATGTTATTGTTTCATGGTTTCTGATTACGTCTGCATTCAGATATTTTAGAAATGTAATTTACAATGAATTTGATTTCAGGTAGTCGTTGTTTAGAAAAAAATGGTTGTAATGCGATGAGAGTTGAAATCTACATTGTGATATAATTTAAACCAGGTACCATCGGTTTATCGATTGTGATACTGTTTCGATTCATCCAAGAATATCAATATCTGACAGTCACATTCATCCATGATGTATATTTACGTTTCACTGATATTAACTACTTGCACTCAGTTAGTATCAGTCTACTAAACAAAGCGTATGATAGATAACCTTGGCAGCAATTTGCCATTTGCTTTATCTTTAATTTCTTACAATTAGGAGTAGTGTAGGTGACCTCAGCGGATATCCTTGCTCCATTATTACAGAAAATTTGGTAGGGAATGAAAGTACCTACTGATTGGAAGACAGCGACGAAGAACGGCTACTTAAGCCCTTGGAAAGGCTAGCACGGAATCATGTTCCTGTCCATCCCAAGCAAAACACTAAGACGCGTCATCCTGGGGAGACTAAAAGATGCTTTGGATAAAGAACTCCGACCAGAGAAAACTGGATCGAGGAAAAGCAAATCATATTCGGATTAAATTACAACACTACGCATCATCATCGAACGCAGCATAGAATGGCAGTCAAATACCTACCTCAAATTCATCGACTGTGAAAAAACCTTCGACAGCGTTATTCGTGAAGTGATTTGGAAACTGCCTCAACAGTACGGAGTACCCAAAGTCTTCATCAGCCTCGTTCAAAAGCTATGTGATGATGCCACATGTCACCTAATTCAAAACAGGAACCTAAGTGATGACTTTAAACTGAAGACATGAGTAAGGGAAGACTGCATACTCTCACTGATAATATGTCTGATTGTGGTAGACAGTATGTGGAGAACGAGAAGACGGAAATACACTGGGCCAATAAGGATCCCTACGTTCTACTTGGAACCTAAAAGAATAATACTATCAACAGAACTTGAGTAACGGAATCGAAACGGGCAGTTAGTGTGATTAGAATAAAGCAACAAATATTTATTGCTCATTCATATATGCACGAAAAGAGGAATTCCGATCCGATCTTGTAGGTGGGTCTGTAGAGTACAAGTACCTGAGGACGAAAATGTCGCTGTTTTGAATCCTGCTAAGGACTAAGATTCCTCTTCAGTTGCACTTACTAATCCCAATATATAGTCGAAAATATTGAAAAATGTCATCAGTAAATTTAAAAAATGGCATGTTTAACTCCTATGCAACCTGTGTGAAACACGGTAGTACAACTCATTACGCAACATCAGAATGGAAACCAAACACTTTATGAATACATTGTACTTAACATATTCAATAAACTGAAAGGTACCCCATATGAGATATACTTACACGAACGATTTTATCAATTGTTGCTTTTGGTACACAACGTTTTGAATCATTTTCTTCTAGGAGATCAGATTTATTCTCTAAAATTACAATCACTGTATTCTCATCTGTCTCTTCAGTTACAGACTGCAGCCATGATCGAACAGCCAGAAAGCTTGATTCATTCGTGGCATCGAAAACAATGATTACACCATCTGATTTACGGTAGTATTGTCGTGTTATGCTTCGAAATCTACCAGTGAAAAATAAAGAATAAACATTAACGCAAACATCATACTGTGGTTAGAGCTGGCTGTAAGCCGAAATTGTACACAAAAATTTACGTCAATGTTCACGTCCTGAATCAGGGTTATGAGAGAAACAATAACAAAGCTTAACCGTGAGAAAATCACCAGCCAGTCACAGTGGAGTTAAAGTGTGGAAATACGATTCGCAGATATATGGCCTGACTTTCTAAGAAACGGCCACAAAAAGATGACGGAATAACCTTCAGCAAGTAAACGACCAATCAGAAGACGTTGATTCTCCGCTAATAATAATGTACATAAAAATCTATAAATACCTCTTGATTTTTTCAATAAACGATCTGTTGCTTGATCCTTGTCTTCTGTCTTTACAATACTACTTGCCAGTAGCTAAAGTGTTTAAAACAATTTTAAAGTAATAACAACAGCTTCATTCTCAGGAGGAAGTTTAAACAGTGCACAGAATTCTCGGTGTACTTAATTGTATAATATTTTATCTCCATCCACGATCTTATTCAGTGACGTAATGCTGTTTTGTCTGAAGCATAGACTAATCCATTATGATATTATCACTTTGTCTCGGAGAAATGCGCACTGGTAGTTTGAAAATCAATTAAAGCTGTGTGTGAGTACATTTCGTGACTGACAGGCATAAATAAGTGGTTGAAACACCAAGAAATAGAGAAAAAATGATTCAGTGTGTTGGATGAATATTCAGGTAGCCCAGTGATTCAAGCAGGCAACCAACTGAGTTCAATTTTATCAACTCATTATAAAAATTACCCTATAATTATCACCGATGTGTACATGAGACTTTTAAGAGACAAAAAATAACCTCTTAAGTAAACAACGACAATTAATATAATGTTTTATTTACAATATATATTCAGTCATGTCGCTTTGATGAAATACTGGAGGAACTCACAAACATCCTGATCATAATTCTCTCAAAGTTATTCACATGAGCAAATTTGAACTCTTGATTATAAGAGAATACCACATACCATTGGGCGTCGGTGGCATAGCGGTTAGGACGCTCGCCGACCATGCACATGATCCGAGGTTCGATCCCCGGCCACGGACGCACTCCTTTACCTCGCTAAGCCAGAAATAATGCTGGTAAAGAGGAAAGGTTGGGCATGAAGCTAGCAACCCCATCCTGTAAAAATAAACACCACTGCTACAGAAACTTCAAGCCACTAGCTTGAGGACCTATGTTCCACTGGGGAACGTGCAGGAAAAAAAACCCACATGCAATCGAACAACAGGGTGGGATGGAACTACAAATCTAGAAAGCAATGTAGCTAGTTGGAGCGAGAAGTTGGTCACTGAATCTCTGTTGATCGAATCCACACACAGAGAAAACACTTGCAATAGGAATAATACAGCATCGATATCAAAGATTTGGAAAATAATACTATCGACAAAATCAAAGAATAAAAAATCATGGTACTTCTTAAATGAAAACTGAAAGTTATGTGAGTAGCTTTGATGTGAATATGACTGCGTTGGAAGCATCATCAGTAAACCATGCTGTCTTTTGAAATAAAATTATTCTTTCTAACCAGTAGTCTTTCCTAAAACGGACTTTATTCATTTCATGGATTCACCACATGTGAGTTTCTTTATATGATTAAATATTTTTAACTTTCACAACTGTGTCATACAATGTTACGCAGAAATATGCCTGAAAATAAGTACTTGTTCAACACACTTTTTCTGCCAGGGGAAATTGAAAAGGTGACTGCCATAGGTATACGTGTAAAAGGAAGGATATCTGTTACACACCACCTCTCCGTACCATCATAAAGCCCTTTTTTATGACGCCGTCGATCGCCCGTAGTTGGTTATGCTTGGCTGCCTGTTGGACATTTTACATTATATCCTTGTGTCCAGAGATTCTCTTTAACTTTTTCTCGTATACACTGGACGCCATCCCAACGTGTTATTCCACGTGACCACCACTAGTTTCAGTAGTAGCTGTCCTCATCCCAGGTTCATCCCTGTAGTATATTTCTGTTCTCTACACTTCATCTAATCTTTCATCACTTCGAATGGACTTCATCTTTTACTTTGCTTCTATTAAATAACACACACACTCTCTCAGTTCCTGCTTTTTGATTTTCTTGTTTAATGTGAATAACTTGTTTCCACCCACTAGTTTATCTCGTTCTATGTAACAAAATTGTAGTTGTGACCAAGTTTTGTACTACATATCAAGATTTACTATCATGTATTGTATGTATCATTAATTCTAGAGTATTTTAATTACCATTAATGTGTAAATTTTGAACTTATTTTCTCAAGTTTACCAAGAAAATGTAAAAATGATGCTTATCTCCTAAAACTCATCGTGAAATGATCGTTACGAAAAAATCATGAGTAACTAACAATACGACCTTGGAAAGGTGGTGAAAACCAACAAGTTGGCAGAAGAGTCTGGCAGCAAAGACAGGACTTCAAGTGGACATGGAAAAGACAGTGGTGAACAAGATAACAAACCATCAACAATCAGTGGGAGACATTTGAAAGAGGTCGTCACTTTCACTTATCTAGGCAGCATCATTTCAACTACAGGCAGTCAGCGTGGATGTGGATTTCAAATGCATACCTTCATTAATCTGAAATCAGTATGAAAATCAACAGGCTAAACATAAAGAACAAGATTCGGATTTTTAACACTAATGTTAAGTCAGTTAAAGATTCTAAATGGTTCAGAGATTTTGCGTGTGCGTCACGGGAAGGATTTGCAGTGGGCTATTGCTGACTTCCATCAGCAGTTGCTAAAGATTGGATGGCCAGAAAGGATAACCAACAAGAAACTCTGGCAACAAACCAACCAAGAATCTACTGCCCACCAAATCTGCTGAAGGAAATAGACATGGGTCGAACATACAATGAAAAGGCTGTTCAGTGGCATATCGCGCAATGTAGGCCCACTAGTTGATCCCGAATGAGGAACAACAAGTTGGGCGTGGGTCCGACTGTGACGCGGAGGAGATCGTTTGAAGAGAAGATGAAAACTAACGGTTAATCGTGAAGCCAGCTAAAGCCAACTGCTGAGAAAAGAATGAAACGGACATGTGCTTTTGAAGCCTTATGTTCCATTCGAAACCTAAGGGAACAATAATATGACCTGCAAGAATACTTGTTCATATAATGAAACAAAATCACTAGTCACAAAAATTAACCAAAAAGATAATACATCGTTAAACTGAGTTTTCAATGTCATTGAACACTAGAAAACGAAAATTCACATGATTTATTTATCTTGCGTATTGCAACTGTATACAGAATATTCCTGTGCATTCTCGTTAACCGTCTCACTTTGTACTAGATCCATTGTCAGACTAAATATGTAAGTGGTTCACTGGGTCAACGGGGAAATATTTAAAGGGGCATTAAGTAGAGAGGCTTTGAAATCACCGATATATCATAAAGATGACTGTTAACAGCATAAAACTTAAGTCCATGCCATTGGAATAATCACAACTAACTGCAAGCTTTTAATGTCTTATAATTTTCAAGAGTTAGTTTGTAGGGATTTGGTATATCTCAAGTTTGACCACCAGTTGTTATCATCTGGAGGAACACTGAAAACCAGCAGGAAATACTGGACAGTTGTTTCGTCCTTCTTTGGGAGTCTTCGGTATTACACACCTACGAACCCACCTGGGATTGAACACAGGATCTTCAGGTTACGACACCAGGCTTACTGATCCACCATTCCGCTAATTGGGCAGAAATTCAATGACCTATGAACTCTAACTTGCATCAGTTCGTGATTTTAGCGTGACCTCGGCTAGTATTTGTCCTCACAGCCGACCTGGTGGATCCCACAGGTCATAATGTTTCACTAGAACTCCAGGTAACTTCATCTTGTAGTCAGTCACTAGTGAGCATCACTCTTTTTCCAAAGTTTGAAACCTGAGTCATTTGATGATTACAACAAAATTTTTCCTAGCATAATGCTGGTAATTTGAGTAATACTGATAACAATAACAACAAACAACAACTACTAATTTTAGTAGTAGGGATTTTAGCACATGAAGTTTTCTTTCCCCTATTGTCTGAGACACACTAAACCAGTCAGTTAGTTTCCAATAAGAGACACTATAAACAAATTTCTAGACAGACAAAATATAATTATTTCCTTCTGTCCGACAAATTAGCCAGGGATCTTTCAAACTATGTATCTATCTATCCATCCATATATATATATATATATATATATATATATATATAACTACAAAAAGTGGTTTCTATTTTGTTTATTGTTTTCCGTTGACGATTTAACTATTATAACTACTAGTCCAGGGACAGGCAGACGAAGATAATTAAAGTTACTAGAAAAACTAGTGAATGATTTTTAAACTTTTATTCTATTTGATTAACTTGCATGAATTATCAATCAATCCTTAACTGTTTTACATTGGCTGATGGTGGTGCTAAAGTCATGAATTGGTAGAAAATTAGAATTAATGGGCTGTCCGCTGAGTCAGTTTCCAGTAACTGAATTGTCTACGAGGTAACCACAGTGGGAGGGGGTGGCTGGGTTTAAACCCTACTGAGTGCGTAGTGCCAATGAGTCCCGAACTGGGACGAAACAGCCGCCCAGTACTCCATGATTCTGATTAGTTCTACAATTGATATCAATCAGTGATCAAACTTGAAAGTGTGTTAAAGCCACGGTTTTAATTATTCCTCAAAGCGTAGATTTAAAATAGAATATGGGATAGAAGGTTATGAGCGTGTACGTATTAATCTGTAACTCAATGAATAAGTTTAAATAGAAAAACTAAAAATTTTTTATACGTACTATAGGACTGATACCTAGAAGTACGAAATTTTTTATACAGCTGAAATAATAAGGGGTTAGAGAATTTATATCTATAGGATGGACGGTCATATCTAATAAGAGCGATGTAATATTGTATTTATGAACTTACTAATTCTACAGCAGGTCAAAGGAGCAGTAATGGCTGGA